ACCACTACCAATAGCAAATCAACTTGCAACCAACTGGCTGGTAACAACTGTTTGGCCAATCCCTAGCCAAGTTATTTACAGTTTGCCACGACCAATAACAAACAAATCAACTTGCAACTGGGCTGGTAACAACTGCTTGGCCAATCTCTATCCAAGCGATTTGCAGTTTGCCAGGACAAATAGCAAATCAACTTGCAACTGGGCTGGTAACAACTGCTTGGTTAATCCGTACCCAAGCTATTTGCAGTTTGCCACTACCAATAACAAATCAACTTGCAACCAATTGGCTGGAAACAACTGCTTGGTTAATCCGTACCTAAGCTATTCGTATTCATTAAAAGCGTGAGATCGATTTGGAACCAGCTCTGATCGTGATTATGGACGAAGATAAAAAAGCAGGACATCCCCCTGCAGGTAAAATGCAAAGAATGACTTCTCCATAAGTTATCGTCCACAGCAAGTATAAAGCTTTGTTGACTTGTGCGATAATCACCATCCATCCATAGAAGGGGGCAAAAAAAAAATTGGCACGGGTCCAATCCACACCGATCGAACGCAGTTGGAGCGCCAAGCGATACAAATTGTATCAATGTAGATATACTGTATATCAAAAGTGTCGAATAGCGCGTTGGTATGCAATAAAATTGCTCAATTTGACTCAGTAATCAATAATTCTCCATGTGGAATAGCCAGGCCATATATATATCCCTTTTTACTTTTTTGTCATACAGTATGCAAATAACAGAATAACATTGAATTGCATCATGTCCATCATACAATCTGCTGGTGGACGCCGGCATGATGGAGATATGGATTGAAGTAGGCCATGCCATGCAATATTCATCATCAATGGATAGATACATTGGCATGCATGATGATGGATTGATTTGTCGTCATCGATGAAAGGAGAGGTATTCCACGATACCAAAGTATACTCGTATATACACACTACAATCACTTGATGACTAATGTTGATCATGCAAACCAATATGGGTACAACTTATACAAGCATGTACACAAGTACAAGTGGAATGCTGTAGACCGTACAAAGCAACTCTTTTTGGTCGTCTTCATGTAGCCATGATAACTAGTGTAAATAAAAACACAGGATATACAGTACCTTACTGACTTGATCATTGTATTTTGATCGAGTCTTTTCTTAGAGGTCAATCCCATAATCTTTCATGTTTCAGTTGAAGATACACAAGTTATTAGCTCTCTTAACTGTACCAGTATTCCATAATCAATGGAAGCTGTGTTGCACCCACTCGACTGTTGTGGACATCAGGGACTTTTTTTTTTAAATCAAATTGAAAAACTGAGACACTTCTTACACCAACCATCGATACTGTATTTTTCATTTTGACTCGGCTACCAAACGCAACCTATTCCATAGTCTTGATCATTCTACGCTAGATTCTAGGATACTTCGACCAAGTTGATGATCAATATGCACTTGTCTTAGCTAGAAAGGAATGATGAATCCCAGGTTGTGTTACCATACAAGTAACTTATCCAACAGACTGAAATTGGATGGTAAAACATGATCTACATGTCAATGTTCAACTATTGATTTAATTGTCAACCATCAATGAATCATATACAGCATATTACGACAAGTAATTATCCACTAAGAACTATTTTAGTATGTATGCTATATTATTTTTTGTCCAATTATCTCAATTGATCATATCAGCGACGTGCAACTTGATGTACTCGTAGGACGTATCATGCAATTAGTAATGATATATAATCAAATAACTGATATATATGCGTGTGTATGGTATTATAGCTAAAATGGCTGGCGGTGTTAGAGTAAAAGGCCACGCTCATAAATACCCCGCTGAAGAGAAAAATACTACAGAACAAGCTGAAGATAACAACCAAGAAAATCCAGCTGATGTTGAACCACCAACCAAGTAAGAATTACCAATACACAAAATATGTTTTGAATCCATCACATAGCTAAACATTTTTGATACGTTCCATCTCTTTTACTCTAAAATACTTTGAGCTACTAGTATTTATTTCCTTTTTACCTATTGCTAAACTGTATTGGGCCATTTTTGACACTTGTAATTGACGCGTACACATAGAGTGTAAAAGTCCAAAATTGATAGTATTGCAAGCACCAAATTGTACGATAGGTTATATCGTACAAGATAATCCCAATACTTATAGTACCTTTTTGACCATGCTTCTTTCTGCAACCAACACGTAATGACTCCAATACAAATTGAAATACAGTCAATAGTTGTATGCTATGCACCAACTACTTTACTTTATTTTTAAAGATACAGTAAGCATGTATCTCGTAGTACCTCAAAGCTTAGTAGGCCATAGCACCCTATCGATGAGCCTACCATACAAGTATTGCAATATACCTTGTCAAATTGAATGCCATTAATTGTGTACTTTAGTGAAAACAAATTTCGATGCTACTACAAGCTATCTGTACAACGGATCGCAATTAAATCTATCCTCATTCTAAAATATATATCGTACATGTCCTGATTCTAATAATAATCCTTTTTTAATTAGGAATGAATCAAGCGTCACAATTTCTGGATATGCCTCGAAGGTAAGTAGACGTTGATTACTCGACAAGTCTCATGATTGATCCTTTATACTTTACTAAAATTTAGTAATGAGTTAGATCAAGCTGCTACTGTACGTATAGGAGGAAGATATTAGAAAAGTGTACAGTACCTTTTATTCTACTCTTGAACAGCATTGTAGATACGATATATCTTATACGTATACATGGCTGTTATCATCGTGATAATTGTTTTTTATGGTAGAAATCTGTTAACGCAATTTCTCCAAATTGGATAAGCCATGAATTAGATCTATAATATGCTTCTAACGATACTTTCACCTCTACAGTATAATGCTTATATACTGTAGAGGCATAGAGATCGCGTCATCAGATATTATTCGCAGCTGCTGCAGATGATATTTGTGTAGAATCGATTGAAGTTATGTAATCTTTCCATCATAACCTACTATAACAGGGTAATAAAGATTTCACGGCAGAAGCTATCAGCAGCTATCATGAAAAACCTCGACCAACGGTAGATAAACGTATTGCAGATAAGAAAGGGCCTGCATCCAAGCAAAATTTTACCATTCAACAACCACGGAAGTAAATAGCTGATATCGAAGAAGAGTTTTAAAGTTTTAGATGGTAGATTGAAGAGAGATGTAGAACAGTACTATCCGATTGCTAGTGATAAAAAGACAGAGGATTAATTGAATCTGTTAGATAAGTCTTTAATTCATTAAATGTTGAACCGGAATAATTAAAGCAGGTTATAAAACATATAGTCTAGAAACCTATAACCCTTAATCTAGAATAAGTATTCGATCTGTCAGTAGACTATCATTTTTAGTCTAGATATTATCTCCTCTCATTCATGCAACGTCTGTTACTCTACATTTAATGATCAACTATGGCATGATACAACCATGCAGCACTAATCTAATCCACATCAATGTTGATTCCTCAAGGCTTTGATGATAAATTGTAGAAATTCAGTAGTTACCAGACATTAAGCAGGCTTAGCGATTAAAGGATGTATGCTGTAAAGATTTTCAATAAAAAATGACGTGATTTGCATGAAATAGCAGTTATTTATTTGTACCTAGGTGGAACTTGTTGTTCTAGAATGACTTCTTGATCTAATAGTATAGCCTATATAAGATGAATTTCAATTTAAAAGGGCCGAATATTGTCGTCAATCATGCGTAAGCTATAGAAACTCTATTCGACAATTGATACCGAGTTATGCTCGCAATGCAGGATATGTTCGGCCTGTATCATCATCAACTGGAGCATCGTTCTAGACGTTTTAGATAGCTTTACAACAAGTTTACAACATAAACTGCTAATAAGCTATTCGTTGTCACTAAGTTTAATCTTTTTCACTACTGCACTGTACTCACAACCAACACAGTTCACTATTTGTTCCTATCACTTTAATAAAAGCAATGCCAGAATACCATTGCGTTGAACCAATTTAGAGCAGATGAGTTTAGCCTCTCATAGTGGGACATTTTACAACGTAGACAACAAGTTAATAGTAATCAATACTAAGTACAGATCTACATTCTATGTCAATACTCAATTTACTGTCCCTTATATATATATATATAATGAAAGTTTAACTTAAACATTAGGTAAATTACGCTTCAAGATACATAAGCGTGACTAAAATAGAATAGCAAGTGAGCCAATTTTTCATAATAATTCATAAAGTGAAAGATAGAATCTGTCGCTACACGCCGCTGATAACATTAGAAGATCCCCTATATAATTAATCAGCTTTCACAAGTTAGTTAATAATATTGTAACCATAAAACTCGATTTACAGAGCTTTGGATAACAAATGTTCTACTGTATATAGCCGTAAGAAATGAACATTTTCAATCTTTGACAATAAATATCGAATCCGCATAATCAATTTAAATCATGTCTCATCAAATTGAAGGAATTGAAATGGTCAAAGTAAAATAGCGCTATAGACCATTTTAATAGCGGCTACCCAAAGTGGGTAAAGTTTGCTGTGAAGAAGGTCTGCATAAAAATGAACCTTATCGTTATGGAAGTTTTATCAGCATGAAAACTTGAACAAATTAGGAAAGAAACGGCTACTATACAGCTTTTATCCACACGCAATATGAAAATGAAAGATATTAAACACATAATAACAACGCAATATTGCATCTTTACCATAGCACAGTAAATAATCTTACTAACATCGTTGTCAAAATAATAATGATTCTCATTTTAACGGCTTAATTGGATATTTTTAGGCTCTATAATATGACGAGTTAGGAATATTTGGTCGAAAAAAATTAAGTTAGTAATTGAATAATAGCTCAAATGGAGTTGGCTTAAGCTAATCATTTATCTTGAGTATCATCTTCTGACGTCTTCTCCGCTGAAGGATTTATCTTTTTCTGACGATCTAAAGTAGCTTTCTTAATGGATTGAACAATCATATCCGTTTTTCCAAATCAGGTGATTGATTGTCACCAAATGATCTTGATTGCTTTAATGTGTCTATACCAGAAGAATCGACAGTTAAACTCTTGGAAAGTCTCTTTCTTTTATCGTCTGCCGACAATTCCAACCAGTCATCAGTCTTCTTTTTATCATATAACTCCGACAGGCACTCAGTGCTACCATATTCAACAGCAGCAATTTCCAAATCGGATGCCTCTTCTGATGATGCTTTACCTAGGAACTCATCGTCTAAAGCAGTAACATGCTTAAACATACAAGGTTGTGATATTTGTTCCTTTCGAATACGTAGTGATGACGACTTTGAGATATCCTTACGTTTGGTGCGACGTAAGAGGGCATTTTTAAGGAATCCGGCTCTCTTTTTGGCTATAATTGAGTCATATAATGGGTACCATTTGATAACATAATATAAAAAAAAAGATTCAACATAAAAGAAAACGTATCAGTTGCAATCTCTTTCCATGTATGTCAGATAGAAATGACGAAATATCACTTGCTAAATTAGTTCTTGTCGATACAGTATGGCTAGCTGCAATTAATACTACATGTAGAAGCATTAAGATTAACGTTTATAGTTGTAAAATGAGACATCAATTATTTTATGAACTGATTGAAACTTGGACAATATGCTAATGTATGGTCAACGAAGGATTAACAAGTCAACATGCGGCTTTTCCATGCAAGAAATTTATGCTGTATTTAGATTATTAGATAGCTTTAGACTTGAGCTATCGATGGATCGACTCATTACTGAGCGTTCGAGTAGTATAGCAAGCTGATCAATCTCAATCGAAATAAATGTAAAATGTTAAACGGCGACCCATATCCTCAATTGGATATAGAATTTAACTTAAGTTCAAAGTTCAATCAATAAAGAAGTTGAATGTATGACTCATTATGAAGTCCCTACACAGTCCAATCCAGTTCAATTCCTGCTCTAGACTTACGAGTTAATACTGGAATAAAGTAGACAACACGGCAAACTACATTATTGACCAATTCGAGGAAAATTAAATCGCTTCTAAATTGATCTCTCTGTGACTTAGAGTTAATTAATAGTAGAATAAAGTAGACAACACGGCAAACTACATTATTGATCAACTTAAGAAAAATCAAAATCGCTTCTAAATTAATCTCTCTGTGACTTAGAGTTAATAGTAGAATAAAGTGTAGACAACACGGCAAACTACATTGTTGACCAACTTAAGGAAAATCAAAATCGCTTCTAAATTGATCTCTCTGTGACTTAAGAGTTAATAGTAGAATAAAGTAGACAACACGGCAAACTACATTGTTGACCAACTTAAGGAAAATAAAATCGCTTCTAAATTGATCTCTCTGTGACTTAAGAGTTAATAGTAGAATAAAGTAGACAACACGACAAACTACATTATTGACCAACTTAAGGAAAATCAAAATCGCTTCTAAATTGATCTCTCTGTGACTTAGAGTTAATAGTAGAATAAAGTAGACAACACGGCAAACTACATTATTGACCAACCTAAGGAAAATTAAATCGCTTCTAAATTGATCTCTCCGTGAAATCTGAAGAATTGCACATTTGTCTGAATTAATCTACACTAGCAGATCGTCTCATAGGTGCACTATTTACAGCAGAAAGGCGCTTTTGGACGCCATTCCAGAGACTAGTTTACTGTCCATGTTAACATTGGAACAGCTTGGCTATTATAGTATGATCATGCAGAATAATATTTTACCGCAATATTCTATACTTTAAGTTGAACGAATTTGCTATCCTTGAGTCAATTCATAGTCATGTCGAAAGGTAGCCCTATCCTTTTCCTACGTATCCAGTTCAATTTAGCAAAAACAAAAATGGCGGTGAAACTCACCGTCTCTACTATTGCTATCAGCGATTATTTGCTCTATTTCTCGGTAATGTGATGCAGCAGCTTCTTGACTTGCAAATTTAAAGCCAAAATATTCTCCTTTAGTCTTGCAATAGGTATGAAAATCATCTTGTATCGATTGATACTTTAAGCCTGGTTCGATGCTATCTCTCCAGATGATGAAACCAGTCCCAATTTCGACAAAACATAGTTCAATTTCTCTCTTGCTTTTAGTTTGTTTCTGAACGATAGCCGGTACGCCTCTACCGATCAACTTCCATCCATCGATGCTTGTATTAGCCACGTCTTGGCTAGCACTAGTAGATTGAAGGAAATGAATTGTTGCTGTAGTCGGGCAAACATGAACTTGACTGTTATACGATGAAACGCTTAAAGTAACTTGAACTATTTCTTCTTGAGTTAATGCCATAGCCAAAAGTCAACTATTGAAAAAGGAGAGTACTATATTATTTATCTGTACGCATCAAAGTGAATGCTCTAACTTTTTCCTCGATTGTACCTTTCAAAACAGTGTACAAGAGGGTTGTTTTCTACAGGAAATTTGAACATTAACGCTGCAAAACTGATCAACCAACTGTTTAGAACGAGTCTATTACGTCGAGAGGTAGGGAAAAAAACTCTTTGAGCGATATCGATTTAATCATTGATATAGAGCTATCGATGGTGACATATTTGCAAGAAGAAATACAAGATGGTGTTAAGGATAGGATCAAAAATAGGGTTATATCAGGGATAATTATATATTTGATGAGTAATCCATGACTATCATTGCAGCTTTGTTACCCTAATTATGTCGCTATGAGTCTATAGAATTTGTATAGTACTATTTCGATTCCATAGATGAATTCACTTTAGAAATGTTGCTGCAATACCTTCAAATTTTCATCGAAATACATGGTAGGATACGATTCAATATCGAATAAACGCGTTGATGCTTCATATTGGATGATTTCGTTTTTCGATCAATTTTATGCTGATTCACTGCCCAAAAGGACTAAAAAAGGGTTCTCGATGCCTCCGTTTCTAGTTAGATGGCAGCGCCCTAATGGATGCATGGGATCAATACTGAACTCAATAGCGATATTTTACATTTTAAATCGTCCAGTTTCATCAATTTTATCTCATACATATGTTCAAAAGGATAAAATATGTATCCTCAACACATCCTTTTCTCACTAAACGATGAAATTTGCGGCGATATTTTAGGTTCACTATTGCAATTTCGCGTCCCTGTTATCCCATATTCAATATGGTACAACTACTTGAATGGTCCAATTAGTCGGTCATATTTTACATTTCCTGCCACGATTTTCATCCATTTTATCCTACAGGTACAATTTCTCGCTCAATGTAAAAGATTTGGATCCATCTTTTATCCAATACTGTATGAAATCAAAAGTATCCAAAAATGTGCTGTGAACACTCTCAATTTGACGTTCAATGATAGAACTACAATCTATAGTAAATGAAAGTAAAGTCAATTAACATGCAAACATCCAACGAATATCGCACGTTGATCCAAATCAATAATTTGGATCCATTTTATCCAGTTTGGAGTAGATGGATTTAACGAAAAATTAAAATAAAAAATGGACAGACATGCAATGAAATTGCTTTGTTTCTTACTAAGGTATAAAAGATTGAACATGTAGGAAGTCAATCCTCAATCCTAACTTGCTAACGTGGATAGAGAGCAAGAGAGAAAGTTATTTAGAGTAGATAAGTGCAAGGGAATCGAAAAAAAATGGCCAAATGCGCAAAGAATTGTTTTGTTTCTTACCGAAGGCAAGAAAGATTCAACACGTAGAAAGTAAATTAAGTAAATACTATTTTACTCTTACTTGTTAACGAGTGATGAGAGAGAGAGAGAGAAAGTTGAAGTCTATCTCAGATTCGCGATTTGGATAGACTTGATTTAAAGGCAGAAAGTGGATTTTAAGCGATCTCTAGCAGTAGCAATACTATCACAGGAATGCGCAAAAACATGCTGCTTTAATATTAATGCGCGTCCATGTATCAAGCCGCGAGGAGATGACATCAAATCGTCAACAAACATGCAAGTAAAATGATTACTCAGCGCTCGGGAATGGCTTCAAAGTCAATAATAACTAAACTGTTACGTAATGGATAGGAAGTAACAGCAGAAATTAGAGTAAAAATGGGCTAGGATTCTATCAAAACTTCTCCATTTCATCTTCTACCTTACCGAAAGGAATTGCTAGAGGTGTCAAAGATGACTTGAAATACTTTCAGATTGCTGGATAAGGTCCAAATTCTCGGTGATAACAATTTCCTGCTTGGATCACTTGAAAGATGGTGAGGAGAAGGAAGAAAATATCGATGATATAACTTGCAACAATTACAGAATGAGTCTCAGCCAGTAATGATATAAAAATAGGCTGTAGAATAGGCTACACTATCAAAATTAAGCAGTTAAACAACTGAGATTTTGAGCGACATGATTTCATCAAACATCAACTACTGATGCTAATGGCCATTTGCTGTTCTTAACAGGAGTTACTGCTTCAACAACGGATTGATTCTTATAGAACAAGCAAGTCAACAGTACAATAAATAGAATAATTCATCGAGACAAGTATATTAGTACTGGCAGACATGTATTTACTATTTTTTGCAATGGTTTCAATTAACTCGATTACCTTTGCGCGTAAATTAGCTTTCCACACCTCGATAGCGACTAGAATGGCAGTACAGTAAAATGCGCTGATTTACCTCGATTTTTTTTATCTTGGATCTTGATACTATTTATAATACTTTAGCCTGTGATCAATAACAACAATAAGTGGCAATCCTAGGTAAGGGAGAGGATCCCGTATAGAATAATGAAGTGATTAATTAAAATGAGTTAATAGCCTTAAAATAACAGAACAACTGGTTACGGCGAAGACTGAAAATTCTCCACCATGACAGCAGCTCCATTAGTGTAGTCAATTTGATTATTTGACTTAACTTCTCTCGCGGTATGAGGTAGCTAATTTATGCAAAGTTATGTAGGGTAGTGACATGGCTATACCTTAGCTTTAGTAGTAGTAAAGAATCCTGTTTAGATTCTATCCGAGATGATTCTTTCTCTTTTTTTCAACTTCATAAACTGAGGATAAGGAAATTCGAGACGAGATTGGAAAGAAAACAAAACTACGCAGTGGTGGTCTATGGCGTGCAAACCACTGTCGCATAACTTGTCCAATTTAGCTATTCTCATTTCTTAGAGTAAAACATCGATTCAAGCTGATCTCTTTACAAGAGTTGTGCATGCCTTGGATCAAATTATGCATTTTCGTCTACTCTATATGTACTGTAGTTCTACGACAAACGTCTTCGTATTTAGGATGGATTAAGCTTAGCGTCCGATGATTAAAAACTGCAAAACTACGATGGTGAATTGAACGATAGCTTGAAGAGATGATAAGTACGGCATAATCAATAAGAACGATTCTAATTTTCAAGTATACTATGCAACAAAACTTGTATAGTAGCATCTTAATTTATTGATTTGTAAAACGGCAAGAAAGGAAGCCGATTCTGTTGTAGCACAGACCAGGGTAGACATACTTAAAAGGTACATAATTTGGACTTGATCCATTTGATTTAGAATTTAGAAGTGACGTGGATGATCTGAATAGTTTTTATTATCGCATACGCCAAGTATTTGGCCGATGGTGCACAGCAAAATAGATCTACAGTAGTTCTATTCGCTCAGCACCACTGTACTTATCGCTGTGTATAAATGCAAATTGATTTGTTAACGAGGAGTATAACTCATTATTGATATTGCAAAAGCAGCAAAGCAACTGCAAGTCAAGGGTACGAAGCCATCATGTAATCTGGTAGTTGTAATATTTTTGCCTTCTTACCCAGGAATATAGTAGATAACATCAGCGATGTAACTCTCCAATTCTCAGCTATTGAAGAGTTAGTCTTTTTTAGATTCTACTTCAACTAGAGTGTACGTGTTTTTCGATCGACAGAAAGCGAAAAAGTGATTGAAATCAAGATTATGCAGCTATCATGCAAAGCTTATCAACTGGGGCGCATTTCCATAGATGGAAAAGCAAAAAAGCGCCTGGAAGCCATGAGGATGCAGCAGACCTGAACGCTTTCAGTAGAGATGTTATGGCGGACATAATTAGAGGGTTAAGTGGAAAATCCAAAATCCAAATGTAACAGTAATGAAAATTACTGGGAAAAAGTATAGGAGATGGATAATGGGTACGTAGGCAGTGCTGCTAATACAAGTAGAAGTCCATTTCCCAGTAGATTGCAATTTTTGAATTCCTTTCCTGTAGTATCATGACTACCAGCAAGCAGCAAGAATGGCCATTAACGAAAGATAATTTAAGTTAGTATGCCGCTATTTGCCGATCCCTATTACAGGGATCCATTAATTAATCAAGTTCAGTTTGAAATCTCAATATTCTCTACTGATGTCAAGAGCACCCTTCAAGTTTAGTTTTCGTTGAAGAAATATTAAACTGGTTCAAACAAGTCGATAAGCCTTGAACAGGTGTAAGATTTACTCCTGACAACATGCAAGTAAGGGAATTAAAGGAAAATGGCACGGTAAAACTTAGACTTGAAGGAGAATACCCAAGTTAGAGCTTTTAAGCCAGATACCTGCTATTCATCAAGCTGAATTTAGATCGTTCAATTTATACAGTTGATTGCTATCGTCTTTGCTGATACCTTGACAGCAAGAAAGCAACTTGAATCTGTATAGGTAACCTATGTTATACATACAGTTGTCATACCAATGGAATCTCCACGGCAAAACCTCTAGTTCAACTTTTCCAAGCACTTTCTCAATACTGATATTTCAAAATAAGGCATCACAAATAACAAAAATCTTCACACAGTCCTCTCAAGATTTCAAACCTATGTCATCCCCTCAGTCGATTTTTGGCAATTAGCCTCTGTCAATGTAGCTTACAAATCCAATAGTTAAAATACAACAAAACCCTAAAGATTACCTTGCCAAATGTCTATTCAACTTGCATAGCGCTTGCCAAAATGTAAGTTGTTGATTAAAGAGAATCTCTACAGTACAAGTAGGCATTGCATACCGCTAACGGATTGCAATCTTCGGCCAGCGATAAATTCGAATCACCAGCAACTGAATGGTATCCTTGTATGATAGACTATTTATGGACAATAATGAAATATTGATGGTCGCCATTTCCATTTTCTCATCCGATTGGCATATTGCTACCGTTAGAATGATCTCAATGGTATCCACTTCCAAGATGGATCAATGGAACACAATTTATTAGGCACCCTCGTTTTATACAAAGACAATTTCAAATCTCAAGCTGATCGATTAGCCGAGAAAGAATTATCCCTCTTAGCGAATCGCTTAGAAAATCATATACTATATTGCTAAAAAGGATTATACTCTGCAATCATCGTCTCCTTACATAGAATGAGAGGTTATTATTAATTTGATATTGATGGCAAAGCACATCATTAGACATACGCACTATAACGGATAGAATAAACTGACGAAAGCATGGCTATCTTTTGCCGCATAGTTTACATACTACCTAAATAGGATTATTACTGTATCCTAGAAATGCTGCTCGACACTGCTAAATTAGTAGAATTCTAATCTTACACTTCACTACTACCCTGCAACAGTAAATTAATTTTGATCGACGCGTAAACGAAGGATTCCAAATTAACAGCGTATACAGAAATGATGAGAAGAAGGTCTCTAACTGAAGTCAATATTTTTGCAAAATCGATAAGATAGTATATTTCCCACGACCATTTGATTTCCATATCATTTCCTAAACATGGTTGCATAGAAAGAAACGGAGAGGAGAGCTCCAACTTAAGCCAATGTCTTGATGTCTTGTCTTAATGTAATATTTTAGTGTCAAGTTAGATACAACTTCGATACGAGATATTTCTCCAAATACCGTGGTAGGTTTCCTTTATTAAAACAGTCTTAGCTTGTCAAGCCGTTTATTGTGATGAATAAAATAAAAATAGCAGATTATAAGATGATATGCTCGAGTCTGCTGCATCGAAGTTTACTTAAATACAACCAGTTACTCTTACCACAGTTGTATTCCAAAATCAAGGCTGCAGCAATATTTTACTACTTTGTGACGAATCTAGATACAACCATAGACTATTAGACGAACGTATATCTAGTAGTTCGTAACCTGTAAAACGCTTTCGTTAGCTATAAATCAACTTTTAGACTGGTGAACAACAATTTTAATACACTGGAAATTGCTTTTACTATCTCGACATACAACTCTCATGATCTAGATCCATAATTGACCAACATTGAATAACAACAACATTTTTTAAAAGACGGTGCACCAATAGGCTTACACCGTGCCGATTACTTTAAAATTTATAGTTGTGGAGAATAACGATCCAGGTACTTCATGTAAACATTATCCTAGTCGTATTACCATCCCATTACAAGGATTATTTAAATTCGATTAGCCGATATGATATTATAATAGGTAAGGGTGGCAAACATTCTTTGAATGCGTTCCTCACTAAATTAAAATATCAAAATATAATGTCTTAACATGTTATCAAACAGAAGTAATATTTCTCACTCAAAAATTCAATTTTGTTGATTACCGTTTTCGCGACGATCGGAGCAACCCGGGAGACGAGAGATCTATCAACACGAAACAGTAAATTGCCTAATTAATTAAGAGTGGCCTTCAAATTTAAACGCTTGATTACAAATTGAATCGACGATATTTTTAAAAGCTAATAATTTATAACCAAAGCTAATGTTTTATTCACAAACTCAACTTTATATTCAGCTTAGTACAGTTAAGTATTTTCACGTAAAAATTGAAATAATTAATAATTATGTTTTAACATACCACCATTTTCATTGATAACATTAGGAGCATCCCAGTTCTTGTATAAATATCATATTATTAATATACATCAACAACATTGTAAGAAAGAAGAGCTATATAATTATATACGTATGTAGAGAGTATGCTAATAACACCTACCGTAACTTTAATATAATAGCGCTCGTAGGGGTTGTCGGTAGAGAAAGGTTGCTTACGTCTAGTAAAATAGGACGTAACTGCAATATTTAAATACATTCATAGAAGTATATGTATCTTTATCAGTAGCCTACTACATTGTGATAAAGTGATCTTCAACAATAAATCAAGAACTATGGTTTCTTGTAAATTTCACTTTACTACATAAGTTAGGTTTGTCTAGCCTCTTACATACATGCATACGTCGATGAGATTGGAGAGATTTTTAGAACTACTTACTAACCGTTTACTTCTAATATTATGCGCACTTAATCCAATCGAGGGTTGTTTACTTCTACCATGAGCATTTAATCCATTCGAACGCATCGACTGTCTTTCTTGCAAATTATCTAAATAGCATAACCAAATATCAATTATACGAGGGTTAGGGTTAGTAGTCCAGTATGTAAGCGTTGTTTTATCATTATTGATGCATATTCCTGATCAGGTCAGTAGCAGCAAATTTTAAACAAGAATTCATACAGTAACATTAAAGTATATGCACAGTAATATTACATTATAATTATATAGATAATCATCATGATTAATGGCTAAATATGTACAGCCCCTTAACTCCTATTTTAACGGGGCATGATTGCGTTAAATAGGATATAAATACGAGTACAGTACGTTAATTGAAGGTTACCATTTGTCATTGGCCTAGAGAGCTTGTTGTTTGCAGGCAATTGCTTTTCTGAAGGTAATACGACTGCTAACAAAACAACATCAAGGCAATAAAATGTTTATTAATTATAGTAAAGGTGTAATAATATTACGCAAAGAAGGGGTGGGGTACGAACGTTATTTTACAATTAGATAAAATGCTAGGTTTAACCTGATTTTCTTACGTTCCAACGATTTTTCTTAACTACATTTTTTCTTGTCTTACGCCAATACTTTACTCTTTCAAGCCAACCACGAATAACTGTATTAGAAATATAAGTAATTAAGAGCTCGTCTTGCATGTACCTACATAAATGATATCTAATTCGGAAAAGGATGCGATAAAAGACATTGTATGGTATAATTGACGGTTAGACATTTTACTTTGTTACGAATAACTTTACATTTTTGTATCACTATCGCGTTTTCATTAGCAGTTTCCATCCATTGTTTATGGTGAATCCTAGCAAGCCAACCCTTAACCGCTGGCAAAATAAACATAAGAAACGTATTGGTGTAGCATTTTGCAGAATAATGATAAAAGTATTATTGTTGTGCAATATATTAGCTATCCAGATCTACGAGTTATTCTGATGCCAACTCAAAGGGTATTACTTAGTAAAGTAAAGCTACCTAGTACAATACATTACCTGCTTGAATTTTGATTGCGCAATTACTTCGAAATGTTTTTACTCGACTGTATTTAACCCAAGCCAGCCAACCTCGAATTGCTATTAATAAATAAATGTCGAATATTTAGTATTCGTAACGTATAACTCATGCATCTCTCAATTTTAAAACTTTTTATCGTAGCTTACTTTTTTGCAGCATAAGTACATTGCGTAAAATTCTTTTGAACCGACTTCGAGCCACCCAACCTTTGATTTCTGAAGAAAATCACAATAATTATTGCTAAAATTTGATTACAAATTATGTTTTATATTGTATCAAATAATATGGATTTCATGACATCCACTAAAAATATTTTTATTTCAATTTTTGCCAGCTTTGTCTTAATAATACTATTTAACCTTTTTGAATAATAACCGCATATTGATGTTGCTTTTCAAACTGTTTAGCCAATTGTTGTATATGATAATATCTCAAAAATACCTGAATTTCAGTTTAAAATAAATTATTTAACTTCATAAATGTAGCGGATAGCAAACTAATTGTATATACTGTATAAATAACTATCAATTATTTTACCTTTGTTTTTCCAATAGCAAAGTCTTCGATTTTGCATGCCTTTAATATTTTTTCGCAATTATCACTAGTTGGTTGTACCTTGCGTGTCGCGCTAAATCCTAGTGACTGATACCTAGTTATAAATGAGTTACAACAGGAAATACACATTTTATACTCAGATGAACTTTCGAATGATTACTGTCTCAGTAAACGAATGCATATATATTTTATATTTTTGATTTTAATTTCATCTAATTCCTAGTACCTTGCCATGAAGTCAGCAAACGATATTCGATTTGGAAAGCCCTATAGGAAACGTATATAAGTACTTTACAAGTAAACACGCAGAGATGTTAAAGAACATTTGCTGTACAAATATGCCTTGATGATCAATATCATTGATAATTACTTGTCTTCGAATGTTTGTAGTTTCAATCACTCCAGTATAAGTAAGTTGCGTTAATACTCTGTCTTGGTCAAAATTATCTGCTTCATTTCGGCTATTTGGCTTAATACATCTATATGATAAAGAGAAATAAAAAATCTATATGTTTACATAGTTTACCAAACGTTTGTTTAGTAGATTACGTTTGTATTAGCACATGCATGTGAACCGCCCTTCACTAAACGTATTTTATACACGCTAACCTAACAAAATGAGGCTGTGCTTCTGTCATTTTAGATAATAACTCAGCTAAAGAGTTCTATGACATAGAGAATAATAACTTAGTAAGACCCTGCAACGCGTAATACAAAGTACTTTAAATCATTTTATGAAGATGAAACTTGTTAATTTTCGTGAATTAAGTTAATCGTAAACTAGGTTTCTACCAGCTTATAATCAAAGATGGAAATGTTTGCTATGCTCCTGTTACTTTACCCTAAAATATGAAGCAACGGTCAACTTAGAATGAGTATTACTCCCAGACCGCGGCCTGCCCTATATTACACAGCAAGGGTTACAAAATATTCATATCAGTTTGCTGTTCAACATCATTTAATATAAAATTATTTCTTAAGCGGATAAAGTACAGTGTATTACGTAAATAATCTACACTTATTTAGTATGTAAGCTATCTGTAACTAGCAAATGCGGTAATTTTTTTTTGCTCTTGAGGCTCTTTACCTTAGGATAAGGTAATGATCGGAATTGATCCGAGTTATCATTAATTGATAATAAATTAGCATTCTTTCTTGGTATGTAAGTAGTCTTGGTGGAAGGATGGGCTGGGTAATTGCGTATAGTACAAGATAAAAGTTGAAATAGTAGATGCTTAGTAAATTTTAAGATATTCAGACACTTCATAAATGTTAAAATATTGGCAACATAGTAATTCAAGATAACAGTTGTAGCTCATCTCTTAACATTCATACTGTAAAATTACCGGAAAAAGTTCCATTATCTTGAAAAAACGATTGTAACAAGACATTGCCTAATTTAGGTACGAAATTTATTAGTTTGCATATATAAATACTTCATTTAGGAATAAAAGAATTCTTTATCTAGTAGCCTTTTACCACTTGTAGATAACAATTGTACAATGTCCTGCTGCAACGTATCCCGATTTTTAAAGAGAAACAGGGAAGCATCATATATAACCTAGTAAAAATTTGATAGGTGGTACATATTAATACCATGTACACAACCGCATTTGAAGTAGGTATGTTGAATAAAAACTTATTTTAATAATCAACCTCAAAGCTCATCTATAATCATTAAGATTACATAATGATAATTACCTTTGCCGCGTAATGAAAAATAGCGAATGAAGCACTATTGTCTCTTGGTTGTAAGTAGTATTCATTTTTAGCCAAACCTTCATGTAACTTATCTATAGTTTATCAATTGCAAATAATGCAACTCTTACTCTTATTCCCGGATACTAACATTTCAGGTACAAAAGGCTTCTACATTAATATGTTATAATAAATGGAACTTTATCTTAACAAAACATACCAACTAGAGTACGAGTTGAAGAAGTTGTTAGTACAGTTTCATCATCTAAAATCGTTAGCAAGCCATTTCTTCTCTAAAATAAAGAAATCATAGTCACTCTGTACAGCTACACTCGAAGATCAAAATATTATTCCAGATCAGCTTCTTCTGTAACTGATTGCAATTACATTTAAAAACATATCTAAAACAGGTTTATTATCTTTAAAGGAAACTGTATCCAAGTTGATGCCCTCCGTTACATATTCTTCCTGAATAATTAGCAGCAAAGCAATAGATACAAGAAAACCTTAATTGCCGAATCATTAAATCAACTGATACAAAAAATTCCCGATTATAGAAACTCTTTCATACTCATATAACTAAATATACATATATTTTTTATCGATAAAAAACTGTGTAATATCGTATCTATACTTCAGCTAGTATTTATGATATAAGAATATGTTGTCAAGATCTCACCTGTTCCAAAGAGAAAATATGCCTATTGAAGAAATATTGTATTTGTTCATTTGCGATATTTATACATAACTGCTCAAAGGAATTTTTATCAAATTTTTCAAAGCCAAAAATATCCAATATGCCAATATTGTACAATCTATAAGTTAAATATTTCGAGGTAAGACAATTTTAATATAAATATTGGGCACATGAACAATATATGTTTCAGTATTATCATGGCACATAATTTAAAGTGACGACAGTCACTACCGTACTAGTAAAAAACCAAGCTAAGAATTGAAAAGTGTACTAAAGATTACGGCACAAATGGTTGCTTCTGAAGCAGCTTATAGTTTCCCAATTTACCTATCATAATGGCTATCTGGCTTTAGTAGCATATTTATACGATCAACTATCCATGCGAATAAGCGACCATATAGAGCCTTCAAAAGATTATAATTGGCGTTTATAAATATAGTAATCAGAAGAAAATACATATATTAGCTATATTTAATCGGAATTATGACAAATCTTGCTGTATTTCTTTATTAAACGCTACATGATGGATGCAGCTCACAATATTTGCTCGTAATACCTTGGCCATGGCATCTCTACATTCTGTCGCTTTGGTAACGGTATTATTCATTACTATTACTTCCCCTAATCAAAAAATTAATTTTATTTTCTTCTAAAATAGGCCACACTATGTAATCCAAAATAATTATAATAGTACAGGAAAACATCTCAGCTAAATATAATGTCAATTAACAGTAATGGTGGTTAGTGTACCTGCAGCCGCGGTGGTATTTCTTATCAGAGCATCTTCAATGTCTTCAGCATTAACCGACAAAAGTTTTGCAACTGTAATTATATATCAATCGTGTTAAAAAATATGGCCACAAATACAGCATATTACTTCCATGTAATATTCAATTAGTGTCTTATCAATACTTCAAATATAACTTCTAAATTTGGCTATACTGTACTTACCTACGCGTAGCTTTTCATTGTTTTTGATCAAACTTCTCTCAATTAAATGTTCATTAGATTGATCACGTAGAAAATCAATGTCCCCAATTTGCAACACAGCAGCTAAGATACTAAATGTGTTGTCCAACTCCTATTCAAATAAATTAGAAAAGACGTACAGTATTTCATTAATCAGTCGGATTTTAGCAATCTAAATTTTATTGAAATTCTTCTTCGTAATGTTCTAAAACTGTAGTAACAATATCTCATCCAGTCCCATTTTCGTTGGTCTTTTAAAGATACGTATTCACAATATAAAATTAATAGACATGGTTACTTAACAAGGCAAAGTACAAGCACCTCCTTTGAAAATCCAATAACATGAAAACACTCTTGAACTTCTCTAAATTTATCAATATATCGAGTTTTAATTGCTTTCGTGGTATCACTCTTGTGATAGGGTAAATACCTGCATATTGAACAGTGTTCAGATAAATGAGACTAATAATAATTTACCGCCATTAAGTTCAACAACGTATTATTACTCTAGTTAATCATCACTGATATTGATAAACTATATATCTCTCTCACTGAAAAATAGCTGCTTCCGGATTCTCTGGGAGGTGGTACTTTTTAGCAATCTTATTAAATTGGAAGCCATATAGGATGTAATAAAGAATGTGAAAATTTCGCTCCTCACTAAAAAGAGAGGAATCCCACTAAGTTAAATATCTATAATTTTAGATATACAATTACATAATCCAATACTAACTTGGCTTGAGAAACAATCCTGGATTTTTCCAGTAAAAATTGTGACAGTTGGGCTATAAAATGTAGTTAAAATTTGACTTAGAGACTTCTTTTGTACAACATTTAATTTATACCGTGTGATATATCCGGCAAAAGTCTATAGTAATGCTCTTACTCTTAGAGTTACAATCGAAAATTTAGCTTACGATAAATACTATTTAAGAATTTTATAAAAGCAGAGTAAAGTAACATACCACCGGTTACAGTGCCATCATCCGCAAATTTCATTTCTAGATATTTTCCAAAACGGCTTGAATTATCATTAAATAGTGTCTGAGCATTCCCAAATGCTTCCAATAGTGGATTGACCTGCGATAAGTAATTATTCCTTACTAATAGGTTATAATCTATATCTATCTCTTTATAGAGAAATTTCTTATTTACCTGAAGTATTTTTTGTTCCAGTGCCCTAGTCGTAGCCTATAAATAAATTACAAAACATGTGACATTGAATATTGCGTACACTGGTTAATAAATGTCGGTTAGTCAGAATTTAAAAAGGAAGTGGATATACTAGTATAATACATGTACTGACATTTCCGAGTTTCGTAAGATGCTGAACTAAAAATCCCGCAGATACGGTCTTACCAGCGCCACTTTCGCCACTTATTATACAACACTACACGTAAAGAAGATGTTCAGTACCCATAGTTGAGATTAGGAACATAATTTTTAAATCAAATCAAATAGCATTGTTTTACTAGAGTTAAACATAAGGCTTACAAAGGTAGCTCTACTAGCTCACTAGCATCATACTGTATTGTGTAGCAGCATTACAATCACGTTAGCAGCCATTTTACAATATACCAGAAATAACAGACTTAAACATTTGCTAACACAACCTAAAAGATTAGACATTACTAACATTATTTAACGTTACACCCAAACTGTTGTTAATTAACTAAAATATTAAAGAGTTATTAAGAAGAGTCAGATAATTCCAATGTATTATTGCTCTTAATTCAAACCTGATTTCTTTTGTTAATGATCAAATCATTATAGGTTGCACTAGCAATTGCATAAATATGAGGATCGTGTTTCGTTATATCAGCTGATCGATATCGATTCGAATACTAAAAAGTACAAATTATATAGTGGAAAGACAAATTTAATTTGAAATATTTGCTCCGAAACTATTACGGAAGCAACCTTTTATTAATGTTTTCTTCTGTTATCTTACTTCATTTCTACCAACAAAACGTATAATAGCTTACCTCATTATTATAAATTTTTAGTGGTTTGAAAGGATTAACAGCGATTAAAATATCTCCGATATAAGTATAAATTTGACCCATGTTATATCGGCTAATAAGGTGAGATAAGAGGCTATCCTGATGTGTAAGCGGTCATAGTGAACGGTAGTAAATAAAATCACACATTAAGTTAGGAGAAGTGTCAATTTTTTAATTTGGTTTCTAAAATATCACTTTTACCTCATTTAAATCTTCCAATTTGGCTAAGTCATTGATGCTATAGTTAAAAAACTGGTTTCTGTTCTTCTTGAGCATACGACTACGTGACAAAGAATAAGAAAATAGTTTATTTATATTCCTATTGATAAGAGATGGCGAATACCAGTACTACAAAAACAACACATACACACATAATAAAATTATGGAAAATATTAATGTATTATTTTAAATGTTACCTTGTAATATTTGCTTCGACATCTGCAACATTTTGAGTGATAGGCCCAGATAAACAACCAACATCTTTCATTAGATTTTGAAGCTGCTGACGGATCTACAATGCGATATATATGTAAGTTTCCTATTGCTACATAATATAAAGTAGGAGCTATCATTTAAAATATTACATCAGAAATGCATTCGTAAAGTGTTTAAAAAATTTAAATAATAAGATTACGTTAATCAATGTTTATTTACAGTGATTGGCATTTTATAACTTATCCTAAAATTATTAACTATAAATAACGACGGCAGCTTCATGGATGGTATTAAATTCTGCTATTACTATAAATTTAAGATGATTGAAATGCTTTTGTACGCTTACTACAACAGGTTTTTCTGGGACATCTTTTATTAATGGATGTGCAAATAAATCCTGTATAAAAGGCCTCTTATCAGCATTCTTTGCTAGACACCTAAGTTTTTGACAAAGAGGATAAATCTCAGGATTCAGTTCTGAAATAGTACCACGAGCTTTCCATGTTATACTGTATAGTAACAAACTTTTTACTAGAAAGTAAAGTAACTGAAGTGCTATTATCTTGCATAACTGATATGATGCAGGATATCAGTTAATAAAAGTATAATACTACACTGATATCTTTAACTGGCAGATACTAATTTTTAGGGTAATACTAATTTACTAGTAAACAGCAGCTAGGTTTATGCCCTTACCAATCTACTACTAACGTCTTTAATCAACTATTACTTTATGAAACATTCTTGATCATTGCAATGTAAAATTGCCAAGTAACCTAATTTAACTAGTTCACTGGATCGGTAAAATTTAGATACTGAAATACGTCGTTAACACTATTAGCTCTTTAAATGATCTACCAAAAGAAACTTCCATTATTTACACCTTAATTTACTACCTAAAAGCGGAAAATGTTTTATCGCCTAATTTTGTTGTAACCTTACTAATTAATCAGTATTAGCAAAAGCTTATTGCTTCACTATATTACGCATTAAATTTCCAATGAGCCGACAGTTACCATTTAATGAAATCATTGAAATCAGCCCTCCATAGTGTGGGTTCTTTAACAGTTGAAGGAACGCTCCTATTGCGTAATAAAAGGAATAAAATTATTTAGTACATTGTAGTCTATCGTATATTGCAGTAATTTGGCAATTTAGCAAGATATTAAAATACATTTTATAAAGTATACAGTCGACAAAATACACAATATCGTAAGCGTATCGACATAAAAATATTTTCATATCGATTTCCTTCATCGTAGCTACACACGTATACTTAAAAAAATAAGGCACGCTGTTTAAAGTATTGCCAGGGACTAAGAAGTCCCTGGCATTAGTAAATCGTTACAGCGTTAAAATCCATTTATTGTAAGCAAAATGAATGTAATAAAACAGCAACATCAAAGCAGCAGACGCACAAGATGCCTATTATAACTTCAATTATTTAGTAAAATTTAGCTTCAAATCGCCTTTTATTCATAGCTTAATTACCTTAAAATTTTATACATCGCTCGATCAGGGTGTTGTTCTGCAAAAGGGGGTTTACCATCCGCTAATTCGATGGCCGTAATACCTAACGACCACGTATCGCATCGACTATCATAGCTCCTTTCTTCAAATTGTTGGTTTGCATAACTTTTGCATGCAATCACCTGAGCAGACAAAAATATTCAATTCCTTTTAACATTATATCAATCCAACAGTTGAATGGACTTTAAGCTAATCGAAACTTTTTCAAAGTGTAATCTTGCTATTATTATCTCACTTCAGGTGCTACCCAATACGATGTTCCAGTGCAGGATTGGCGTCGTTGTTGCGATGTCTTTAACATTGCAGATACGTCTATTGAATCAAGATTGGACATTAGACAATCAACAAATTGCAATAAAAGACTATACTTCAAGAAAAATAATTTATCCTAATTGTCATACAAAAATTTGTAGTTAATTAATCTGTCATAGGCAAGTATTTTTTCAATTTCTAGTAGTCATTACCTAAAAGTAATCTCGTTAGTATATAGCTATAGAGTTTATATTGTGTGGTAATTCTGATATAGTCTTGGAGATCACTTTGTTCATATCATAGTCAAATAAAAAGATTGAGGACGAAATTGCAAGCCGACAATTACGGCTATCAGCACATCAAGATTGCTATCATAGTCTTGTCGTCTATTTTCTAGGCATAAAGTATTAGGTAGTGTAGAAAGCGATGATACAATCGCCTTAAATTTCAATACAACAGGCGATGATATATAAGATTTCACACGCTGCCTAATATTGCCTGAATTGAGTGTTAGCAGGCGAGATATTGTATCAATTTGCGATGAAGAAGGCGTATGGAGTGGGAGAAATGAAATTGCCTAGACCTACCAAAATCGATCAATTTGACGTGGGCTTCACTTGTGAGCAAGATGTTACCCCCTTTGATATCGCGATGGATGATATTTCGTTCATGAAGAAATGCAAGCGCCTAAATTAAGTGGCAGAAAATATTAAGACGTGTTGATAAATTAATTTGTCCGTTATCGAATCGGCCATATTGCTAATAATCTAATTAATGGCCGTATCTGATTTACTGACATTTGTACCGTATACGAGTATCTACTTTCCAGATTTTTAACTTACATTCATGGTTTCGCGAATAATGTAAGCGATGATATTTTCACGTATTCGATTTCCTTTATCTCGAACTCTTCTGGCAAGTTCGCTAACAGATCCGCCTTGGCAATACTATATATTGAGTCGATGTAAGTCAGTCAATACGAAGTCGTTGTTGAAAAGCATTTAGGAACGAAAGCAGGTTATTATTGTGAAGTGATCCATACGTATACTATACTTGTAAAAACAATCAAGATAGCCTAATCTAATTGACTAATTCTATAGCTCTGGCATAAACTGCTAGCAGTACACAAAATTTCAAGGTAGCTAAAGCAAATGATAATCGATTTACTTCGAGAGCAAACCAAAGCTGATCTTCAGCGGTGAGAGTAAGGTGTCGACGTTTTAGAAAACAACCTTGGAACTTGATGATATTAGGATGTTGAGAATGATGGCGTAAAATATCAATTTCGTGAAGAAGACGCTCTTTCCTATCCCAAATATTATCAGTAATTTTCATAGCAACCATCATGTTTTTTTTATTATGCTTCGCTGTGTAAACTTCGCTATAAAGGCCATCACCAATTAAATCGAGTAATGTCCAAGTCCCAACAGGATTGGGAAAATTCTTGATTGTTTCTATTTTCGATTTCGTCATGACTCTCTATTCTACCAACTCAAATTTCTGATGTCCTGATGGATTCTACAGTATACGAAAATGAATATAACTTTTTAAACTAGCTGACTCTTTACACATAGTCTATTTGAACTGGAAAGGATAATGATTTAGTTATTCTTGTCCATAGGTGAATAACAATCCAGGGGCGTCAACTTTTGTTACTACTCTCTCTGTTGATGCATTAATTAATAAAGTTACAACTGCCTCCAAACTATAACACCAATACGCATCAATTAACACAATTTATGACGATAATACACTAATATAGCAACTGTTCATCATGATAGTTTCAATTTATCTAGCAGGGCCAGCAATTCATTGCTAACACCATCCAATTAACAAATTGTAAAGATTGGCCTATGCAAATAGGCGTAGACTAGATTATTTAGGAAGGGGGCAAGGCCATAAGATATGATCCAGTATCACCTGTAATTAGTGTTAGAGTAAGAAAGCGTTTCCTTTAGGAGCAAGGATGATGTCAAAGCTAAAGCAAACATAGTGCATCATATACGCCAAACGGTAATATGCTACAGTATGCTGGAAACTGGATTATCGTCAGCAATGATCTGATTTGGCAATCTATAGCAAATAAACCTAATTTTATAAAATTAAACGTTCAAATTAAATGTTAGTTTTTTGTATATAACATACAGTGTTAGAATACAATTGGAAAGAGAGAAATGAAATGTAGATCGGGTGATGAACGAGAAGGTACATTACATTCACGAAAGGCATAGTAGATGATGGTAGGTAGGAGCCAGCATGAGCTACTAATTTTGCCGATGAAGGAATGGACCAACGCTTAATGCGGTTTGAGTAGTAGAATTGCTATTACCGAGGACTTCTCGATGAAAATCAATTTTATTTTATTCCATATTGTTTAGTTATACTATAAGTTCGTCTTCAGTCCCTCTCTTTTTCTCATTATTACAAAATGAGCTAAAATTGATTTTCATCCAGAACTCCCTGCTATTACTAACATGCCACGTCGAATTACTAGTTCTAATGTAAATCCTTACAACGCAAAATATCATTTTACAAGCAATTCACAACTAAGTAGGTAATTAATAAATTGATGTATTAGCTAAATTAGTCCTCATAATAATAATAAAAAGTAAAAAGCGAGGTTGCATTAATCCCTCTAAAATGTATTGCTATCCCAAATAAGTTCAATTGGATGTTGTCATTTATCATACTGTGGCAGTATGAGTTCAAGCGTGATGCTGTGAAATTAGTCAATTGCGATTATCATAAGAAAAAATCACGACTACAAATACTTTCAGCCTAATTGAGCATGAAATTATTAAAGGAAATTGATATACTCATTTTTTTCCATACTGACTATCGCTTGAGGTCTTCTTTACACACTGTGAACTGTCAAACACACCCAAAATCATCCAATCCACTGATCTAATCTTCAACTACAGGCAATGGCTAATAGTGATTATTGACGATACCCACTTTATATCCTGTTAAACTGCTAAGCTACTGCAATAGGTTGTTATTGACTATTACACCTCACGGCTCGTAGCCTTTACAGAGGAGAAGAACAGCTAAAAAGATGTGTTCTCTTAGACGCAGTCTTTGCCTTAATAAAACAACTCAATAATGATCTGTTTATCGCTACTCATCTACCTTAGGCCTAACATCGACCTTTACTCTAACTTATTACAGACATCTCAATTAGTGCCGTAATCGGTTTGAATAGTGCGTGTTATAATATACAGTTAGCTCACATTGCTAAACTATATTACGTATATCGCTAGTAATAGAAGATCGATAACTACATCGAAACTATCATCAGTGCCGTACCCTACAGCTACAACAATCAATCAACCGATTCCAATCGTTTAAATCATTGAATTTTATAAAGCGTATAAGCTACATTGATATAAAATATGACTGTAAGGTATTTTAAAATCTACCTTAGGCCTAACATCGACCTTTACTCTAACTTACTACAGACATCTCAACTAGTGCCATAATCGGTTTGAATAATGCATACAATAATATACTGTTAGCTCACATTGCTAAACTATATTACGTATATCGCTAGTAATAGAAGATCGATAACTACATCGAAACTATCATCATTGTCGTATCCTACAGCTATAACAATCAATCAACCGATTCCAATCGTTTGAATCATTGAATTTTATAAAGCGTATAAGCTACATTGATATAAAATATGACTGTAAGGTATTTTAAAATCTACCTTAGGCCTAACATCGACCTTTACTCTAACTTACTACAGACATCTCAACTAGTGCCATAATCGGTTTGAATAATGCATACAATAATATACTGTTAGCTCACATTGCTAAACTATATTACGTATATCGCTAGTAATAGAAGATCGATAACTACATCGAAACTATCATCAGTGTCGTATCCTACAGCTACAACAATCAATCAACCGATTCCAATCGTTTGAATCATTGAATTTTATAAAGCGTATAAGCTACATTGATATAAAATATGACTGTAAGGTATTTTAAAATCTACCTTAGGCCTAACATCGACCTTTACTCTAACTTACTACAGACATCTCAACTAGTGCCATAATCGGTTTGAATAATGCATACAATAATATACAGTTAGCTCACATTGCTAAACTATATTACGTATATCGCTAGTAATAGAAGATCGATAACTACATCGAAACTATCATCAGTGTCGTATCCTACAGCTATAACAATCAATCAACCGATTCCAATCGTTTGAATCATTGAATTTTATAAAGCGTATAAGCTACATTGATATAAAATATAACTGTAAGGTATTTTAAAATCTACCTTAGGCCTAACATCGACCTTTACTCTAACTTACTACAGACATCTCAACTAGTGCCATAATCGGTTTGAATAATGCGTGTTATAATATACAGTTAGCTCACGTTGCTAAACTATATTACGTATATCGCTAGTAATAGAAGATCGATAACTACATCGAAACTATCATCAGTGCCGTATCCTGCAGCTATAACAATCAATCAACCGATTCCAATCGTTTGAATCATTGAATTTTATAAAGCGTATAAGCAACAATGATACAAAATATAACTGTAAGGTATTTTAAAATTTTATAAAACCTAATATTGAGCTCATCTACTACCCTACATTTACTATACAGTTTTCACTTAAATTGAGTCTACTGCCTAAATAAACACTCGGCTACAGAGTTCCTTTCGGAGTCATTGTCTGGCTATAGCATCTATGTAGATTACTAATAATGTGATCAATTTCAAATCAAACTTTTTATTAAAGTCATATTCTAATTGATTGTATATTACTTACGATATTATGTACATTCTAGGTAACTTAATTTCGTACAACAGTACTTGCTATTTTTCCATTACATTCATTCACTAATTCAACTAGGGAAATGTAGTATACAATATCAATAATTACTGTAAACGACAGCAAGAGGCACTCGGGAGTAGTCGGGAGTAGTTCGGGAGAAGAGTCTATTCCTGTACGATTAATAAACATTTTGTAAAGATATTTACAATAAGTCCAAACTAATATTTAGATTACTATTTAATTGCTTTTGTAGAATCCAAATAAAGAGTTAATTTAAAGCATACAAGCGTCCCCAGGTGTATATATAAATGAGCTCGTTGAAGATTTTTTACTTTATGTATTCACATATAGGACTCAGTATTTACTGTAATATGCATGTCTCACACAAAATCTTTCTATATAATATACTGTAGAATATATATAGTTATTTCGTCACGATTATGATTAGGTATAAGGCGAATCTTGGGAGTAATTTAAATCCAATTACTGTATATTACAAGTCTATTTAAAATTCATCAACTCCATATAATTCATATCGAATAAAAGAATTTATTAGATTATCTTTCCTATCACATTTGTAAGTAATTTTGTAAAAATGAACCCTAACAGCCAATAAAACTGAAATCCTATTTACTAGAATGATAACAATGATTTTATCATTTATTTGTTCTGCAGCTTCAAGTGATGCGAAGATCTCGAGATTTGAAATTAGGAATATCGTTTTTGCCCCATAGCCAACAAAACTAAAATCCTATTTATCAGAATGGTAACAAGAATTATAATTTTATTATTTATACGTTCTGTAGCTTCAACTGATATGAAGATCTCGAGATTTGAAATTAGGAATATTACTTTTGCTCTAGTACCTAACAAAACTAAAGTTGTATTTACTGGAATGGTTACAACAAATTTAACTTTTATTTATATTGTGGCCTAGAATGATATGAAAATCTCGGCGATGATTTGGGTAAGTAAACAAATAGAACAATTAACCTACGAAGTACCTGGCACTTATGCTTTTAAATATATTTCTAATAAGAAGATCCACTACTATATCTTGTAGTTTATCCAATTTAAAATCCTGCATTGACTTTGTCTAATCTTAATCCCAATTTACAGTCAATAATATTGCTTTCTTATAAGCAGACAATTTCGTGCCTTTCAATTACATAAATAATATTTTTCCCTATAGATTTTTGTTTATACGAAAGTATTAAATAGCCGTAAAAATAGGCTTACATTACACAATGTCCCTACTAAACTGTAATTGATTTATTACATCCGCAGAATACCTAGTCATCTATTAATTATTTGAA